TATGGATAAAGGTAACAAATGGAGGTTTTTGTTTTTTGTTTTTTTGTTTTTTCTTGGGCAAACCATGCTCTCCTCCGTGAATTCAGATTAGTGATGCTGTGTTACTGGCTCACTGTGGACATTCTGTTCTATTTGAAACAGCTGGGGCTGTGAGGACGACTGCATTTCCTACAGAAACTCAATTAGTTTGGATGGAAAAGAGGCCATGAAATGCTTCTGTTGTCTACAGAGAGTCAGTGAGAGTGTGTTGGACTCAGCTTTGAGTTGAATTCTAAATATAAACTTTTAGATCAGGCTTTGTTCAGTTAGCTTGGTCAGCTTGGTACACTATTATATTATCATATTTTTATATTACATCATGCTTTTAAAATTGTGCACACTGGCTGCTCAGACTCTCAACAGGTTTCTAGAAATTGGTTCCTTTTTGTCACGGGGGGAGACAGCAGGAGAGGGGTTCTAGGCCTAGGTGGAATAAGAACCTAACTTGCCTAATTCCTGCTCTCACTTCTTTCCTTGCAATGTTGTGGTCGTGCAAGACATTGCATTTCTTTCTTACATGATAGCAATGACATGAGAGAAGCCAGATGCCAATATGGTCCTGCCATTCCAATAGTTACTTGTCAACAGCAATGCGGGACTCAACAAATGAAATGCTAGTAAACAATCTCTTCCAGATTAAGACATGAACAGAACACTTCCCTGCACCTTGTCATTTCAAGCCTCTTTCATTTCAAGGTTCAACAGCCTTGTCCTAAAACCCTAGCGAGGTTGATTGGGATCACCTTGTTGCATCTATACGTTTTCATTTGCACCATCACTGTTTACTCAAAGGATTTAAATTGCTAAGGGTTGCTATGGTTCTTTCTTTGGTTTGCCAATCTCTTGAAGCTCCAGTACAGTGATATATATATGTATGTATATATATTAGTATATATATATATTAGTGCTGAATGCCAGTGTTTGCTATGAGCAAGGCATAAACAAATTACAGGCTGGATTCAGAAAAAAAAACACATGTAGATAAGCTCCAATTCCAAGAGAGGCCTCCTAAAGGCTCATGAATTTGAGTCATGTATGCCTAGAAATATTCCAGGCACACAGACAACACACAGCATGCACATGGAATACATTGTCAAAAAAGCCTGGGAAGTGTTTATTTGATTGCCAAAGAAAAACATTCTATAATGTGTAAGGGAAGAGAGACTAGAGTGTCAAGTTCTCCTTTTCCTAGTTAGGAATTGGCATTATTTTTTTTCCCACAAAAAGTCAATGGTAAATATTTTAGGACTTAAAGGCCCTATAGTTTCTACTGTATCGCCAAATACTACACTGAAGCACAAAGGCAACCCAGAAAATACGTCACAAGTGAGTGTGGTTGTATTCCAATAAAACTTCAGAACTGGCTTTGTCTTAGTTAGATTTAAACAAACTGGGGAAGAAGGGGCTTATCTTGTAACTTCTGGTAAAAGTCATTGTTAGGGGAGAAACCCAAGCAGGAAAGTCACCTGGAGGCAGGAGCTGATGCAGAGGCCATGTTGGCGTGCTGCTTACTGGCTTTATTCTGTTTTCTTGCAGGCCAGGAAGAGCACCAGCGACAGTGATCTAGGCCTTCTCACACCCATCACCAGTTAAGAAAATGCACCATAGGCATTGTCATAGTTAGGCTTACTATTGCTCTGATGAAACACATGACCAAAGCAAGCTGGGGAGGAAAGGGTTTATTTGGCTCATGCTTATCACTCTTAATATTGAAGAAATCAGGACAGGAACCAAAACAGAGCAGGAACCTAGAGTCAGGAGTTAATGCAGAGGCCATGAAAGGTTACTGCCTGATGGCTTGCTCAGCCTGCTTCTTAAAGAATCCAGGACCACCAGTCCAGGGATGACCACACCCACAATGGGCAGAGCCCTTACACATCAATCACTTATTAAGTAAATGCCCTATAGGCTCGCCAACAGCCTGATCGTATACAGATATTGTCTCAATTGAGGTTCCCTCCTCTCTGATGACTCTAGCTTGTGTCAAGTTGACATAAAATTAGGCAGAATAGGCATTTTCTCAATTAAGGTTCCCTCTTCTTAAGTGATTCTAACTTGTGTCAAGTTGACAAAAATCTATCTAGCACAGACCTCTTCTCTCCGTCTCTTTAAATAATTTATTTGCAAAAATGAGTATTGGTGTCCATAACTGGCAAGACAGTCTCACAAAATGTCAGACTGCTGAATTATTTATGCGAGGCATCTGCTGAATTTGGTGATGATCTATATATTCATCACAAGAATGGATACATAAGCGAAAATCATTACAAAGTATTAATTCAGGAGCATGGCCATTGTAAAATAGAATCTGCGGGTCTCTGCTACCCTTATACCATATATTTCTGAAATCCTCAAGCTTATTTTCTCATATTTCCAAGTTTTGACCCATCTCACAAACAAGCCTGATTTTGTCTTCGGCTGCAAATCCAATTTTACATAAAACTATGCAGTTACTTGCCACACATGTTAAACATTCATGCCTTTGCCATATGCTATTATGAAAATTGCACTGATTTATAGCAGTTTGACACCACTAGATAGCACAGATTCACCAGATAGCAAGTCTCACTGCATTGGGAAATAATGTTTTAAAAGTTTAATATGCATCCAGACCTCTGTTAAACTGGTAATAATGTAGTCATGTATTTTTAGAGAAAACTTTTACACTACATTAAAAATATAGTCCTACATTTTGTGACTGTGAGCTATATAAAGTCCACTCATAGTATAGTGGTCAAGAACACATAATATTGCATTTAGGTAGACTTAGGTTTAAATACTGATTCAACCTTTTAACCACTCTGTAACCTTAATTCCTTCAGTAACACAGGATGACAAATAATATCAATTTGATAGTTGCTGTAAGGAGTAGGCATGACTTCTCATAAAACATACAATACCTGCAAAAGTCTGTTATAACACACTCAATAATTACTAATTATCACTATCTCCTATTGCCTGCACATTAAATTCTACTGAAGGAGAAATGAATAACTCAGAATGTATGGGGCTATGCAGGAATGTTGGAAGAAGATATAAAAATTGTCATTCAACACGAAAAGGTTATCATTGTAGCTAATAATCCCAACTTTAAAAACTGGTAAAAAGTAATAGAATCATGAGAAATTCTCTTAACTTTGAAGGTATCAATAATACAGTATAACTATCTAAGCAGGATTTACTGAATGAGTACTATTTCTCTACCCACTGGGTACTCTATCCAATTACATTAGGAGGAAGGAGGCTCCTTAGAAAGTATTATACTTGGCTGTAATAAATGAATACATACTGTTGAATAATACTGTATAATGAATTAGTATTAGTATTAAAGTGTATAAATGGACACTTTTTTGCTTTTGTTTTTTTGTAATTGGAGGTACATATCTGAACATAGATGAATTCTTTCTGTATCAATATTCTCTCTCTCTCTCTCTCTCTCTCTCTCTCTCTCTCTCTCTCTCGCATGTGGTAGCCTTGCCCTTTCTAGAAGACCAGAGTTTAGATGTGAGCAATGACGGTAAGCAGGAGGGAAGCCATTCTGCCCTGCAGGGATAATCAGGAAATGTCTGGAGATCTTTTTAGATGTCACAATCTAGGTGGGTATACTGGCTGATTTTGTGTGTCAACTTGATACAAGCTAGAGTCATCAGAGAGGAAGGAGCCTCAATTGAGGAACTGTCTCGATGAGATCCAGCTGTAAGGTATTTTCTCATTTAGTGATCATTGAGGGAGGGCCCCGCCCATGCTGAGTGGTGCCACCACTGACCAGGTGGCCCTGGATTCTATAAGAAGGTGAGGTGACCAGGCCAGTAGCTGCCCTCCATGGCCTCTGCATCAGTTCCTGCCTTGGGGATCGTGTCCTGTTTGAGTTCCTCTCCTGACTTCCTTCAGTGATGAACAGCAATATTGAAGTGCAAGCCAAAAAAATCCTTCCTCCCCAACTTGAATTTTGGTCATGGTGTTTTGTCACAGCACTAGAAACCCTAACTATGACAGTGAGGATGCTACTGGTAGACTTTAGGGTTGTTGCCAACCATCCTATAATGCATAATATAGCCTCGGTAACAAAACGTACATGGCCAGAATATCACAATGTTCAAGTCAAGATACTTGGTTCTGAGCTAAGATCCTTCAGGGCTGAGGTAGTTTGAAAGAAAATGATTCCCAAAGGGAGTGGCACTACCAGGAGGTATGGGGTTTTTTTTGGAGTAGGTGTGGCCTTGTTGGAGAAAGTGTCACTGTCGGGTTGGCTTTGAGGCCTCCTATGCTCAAGTTACTCCCAGTGAGACAGTCTACTTCCTGTTGTCTGCATATCAACATGTAGCACCTACCTTTCCACCACCATGTCCTGCCATGATGATAACGGACTAAGTCTCTGAATTGGAAGCAAGCCACCACAATTAAATGTTTTCCTTCTAAGAGTTGCCATAGTAATGGCATCTTTTCACAGTAACAGAAACCCTAACTAAGACAAGGACCAAGTGTGTTCATCTGTTTGCCATCAGTGGATATTTGGTCATGATTAGGGAATAGCACACTTTTTGTCAATATGATCCAAAGACCTCACACATCTGTTTTTGCTTACACATTTACATATTTGAAGTCCTAGCATAGAATTCGCCTACCTAAGAGAATAACTAGAAATACCAAGGCTACAGGCTAAATAGCACAGGATACTGGACCACAAGGGGGCTTCAGTACTGAGAGCAGCTTGTCTTACACTTGGAGGAAGGCAATCATTACCAATATCCTTGACCAACCAAGTGACCAGGGTTTTCTTGGCTCTTATGTGGCATCAATTTCCATAGATAGATGACATTCTATAATAATAATGGAATCAAGTGAATTATTGTCTTTCCCAAGTACCTGACATAAACACCACCACAGCTGCTTTGTAAGGTTGTAGACTTAAAGATGGCTAATGACCCAAGACTTAAAACATTGTATAGAAAGAAAATTACTTTAAAGTTCTTGAGTCTGTATTTGATGTCTTCTCGGCGCAGCTGAACAGAATCTCGTTGAATTCTGTATCTGGAGTATCTGGCATCAGTTTTCTCAGATAAACTGGAGGGATCCTGGAAAAGCAAGAAAAGGTTCAAAATTCACAAATGAAAGAAAAAATCAGTGCTTGCAATTAGAGAAAGGAAATATTAAGATGTAGAAACAACTGCAGTCAGCATTTAGAGAGATACATACAGGAAAAATAGGTGACGAAGGGAAAAGAAGAGAATGGCCATTCGGTCCTTGGCCACATGGATAAAATGGGTGTGACATACTCTTCGAGAAAACTGACCCTCCCTTCCCAGCTGTGAACAACTGTCAATTGCTCCACAGCTGGGGAAAGGGGTGTGTGCTACTGGATAGCATACATTTTTAAATTTAATATTCAATTATTCTTCATAAGCATACAAATTCAGAGAACAAAGAAATCAAGAAAGCAACATGTTCAGGAGCTTTTTTTTTTTTTTCCTTCTCTTCACTTTCAGGAGAGAGAAGGAACATGGCAGTCAGCTATGATAGTTGCCTCAGTCATAGCTAGGCAATTTGTCACAGATCTAGGCTGAAACTCAGCGCCACACCCTTCCCACCTTAGCAAATGAGAAATGTTCAAATACAGATGGCAGGGCTAAAGCATTTTTTTCTTCAAAAATGGGGTTAAAAGAAGAAGGGAGACAAGGAGGGAGCATATAGCCACATTTAAGAAAGAATAAAGTCAAGCGTATGAAAAAAGGATAGACTATCAGGAAATATACTTGTAAAGTACATGTTTTCGCATATATATTAGTGGTGGCACCACGAGTAGGACCCATACAGATGAGAGAGTATTTATGCCCTTCAACTAATATTAAGAGAGTATTCCCTGAGACATTAAGCCATCTGGGACATGAACTTAAATGTAGATAAACATGCAGGTCTCTGAATATCTGTTTATAGCATACAGATTTATAGACAGTTATAGACACTGGCCTCTACATATATATATATATATATATATATATATATGTGTGTGTGTGTGTGTGTGTGTGTGTGTGTGTGTGTGTGTGTGTGTGTACTTGAGTAAATATAATCCATATTTAATAATATGAAGCTTTCTATATTTTCACTAAGGCTATATCTAATAATTTCATGAAGGTGATTTAAATGAGCTATTTTTAATTGTATAGATGGCTTTGGAGTACACATGAACATATGGAATGGGTTTCAAGACCCAGGTAATAGTGAAAAGAAGAGACAAATTAGATCTCACTCCCAGCTAATTTACATACTCCAAGCTTCAATTTCCTCATATGTAAAAGAAAAAAAAACTCTGAATATAAAAAAAAAATAACCCACAATGAATTTAGCTACTGTTTGATGCACACTGAAGTAAAATTACAAAAAAAAATGCTTGCTACATGTGATAACAAAAATAGTTAGCAAGTATGTCCCTTTTCAGGATATAGATTCCACTTTTAATGAATTAAAATGTATATCTCTGAACTTGGAAACACATTCTCCCAGAAAAATCTGTAGTGTTGTGTTATTTATGATTTATTAAAGCTTGACTAAGGATTCAGAAAACCTGTAGAGATCAGGCAATGGTGACACACACCTTTAATCCTAGGACTCAGGATTAAGAGATAGACGGATCTCTCTGAGTTCAAGGCTACCCAGAATACACGAGATTGAGTCTAAAAGAGTAACAGAACTCATGCCTTTAATCCCAGTACTAGAGAGGTGTAAAAGATAGAAGCAGGATCTTCAGTAGAGTAGAGGAATTCGTTCTTCAGCCAAACTAAGGAGAGGCATCAGTTTGAGACTTGGTGAAGAGCTCATATATGGATCAGCCCTTTCAACCTGAGCTAGAAGTGAGAGCTAGTGGCCAGCTGTTTTGCTTTTTCTGATATTCAGCTTGAAGCTTGAACCCCAGTATCAGTCTCTGGGTCTTTTATTTATTAGTGTTACAAAAATTCAACCTAAGCGTATGCTCATAATGGAGTCTGTGCATGGGGTAAGCCAGGCTTACAATCACTAAACTTTGAGTAACAATAATAGACCTTCTGATAAGAGAACATGACTTCTGGACTGCACTCATCAACATTCTGTTCAATAAGAGCACTGTGGGACAAGTGAGCTGTTTGTGGAAGCCTACCGTCACAGGCTTATCCTGGTCTAAGGTGGGCATCTGTTTCTCACCCATCGGTCATTCATCTAGGTGATACTACTACAGAGGGAAAAAGAAGAATGGTGGTAAAACAGTCTCCACACCAGGTTGTAAGAGGGTGAAGGGAAACCACACGTTTCTGTTTGCTTGTGTCCTAACCATCTAATGGAAATTTAAAATGTAAATACATAGTGAGAGTCTTTAGAGTAGAAGGAATACTTGTTTTATCCTATTTGTAACTGTCTAGCATCAGAATATGTCAATCCATTCTTGGATCATACTAAAAATGCTTCAGTTATGGAATCATCAAAGACACCAGTGAAATCTTGAGATCTGCATTATATCAGTGATTGCAACACACCCATGCTATTGCTTGCTGACATTTTCCACTCAGATGTATCATCAAATAATATACTATATTTAAGGAGAGCTAAATATTATGTAAGTCATATTTTTAGTAATCTTAAGGCCAATTTGAAACAAGAGGCTACATGTTCACAACATGGACTTCGTATCACTTTCAGTTTTAATCTTTTATTTGTATCTAGTGTTGATACTATAATATGCCATAAACTGTGAAAGCTATACCTTACATTTGCATTGCCTAAAGGGATGTGAAGAAATGAATTCTAAACTATTATGAACTTGATTTTCACATGCCATGGGAGAGGAATAACTATGAAATATGATGTCTCTAAAATAGAAAGTATCTCATCTTCCTGTTGTCACTGGAATATGTCACCCCCTTAATTCCTTGGGTTTTCTAAATTATTGTTACAGCATTAGAGGGAAAAAGTAAATTTCCAATAGTAAGATAAAAGCTTTGATTTTCCTATGTTATATTACTACAAAAGTTTGGTTGTTTTCAGTCCTGACTTCACACATGTCAGTGAACTCCGGTAAGATGGCATTGCTAAAAGTCCCCAGTGTTTTCCAGAACTTCCTCCCTTCCCACAAGTTTCCTTGCACATCAGGAAGATGTCAAGTGTTCTAAATCAGACAGATATAATGAAAGAGACAAGCCAACTCTTCCTCACTCTGAAGTCTTTGAAATCCTCGAGCAGGCTCAGTTTCTCAGGCACAGACTCCAGATGGTCTAGGGCCACTCGGGTACTCTAGGAAAAGAACAAAACAAAGCATAAGCGATGCAATCAAAAATTAATATTCTCAGAATCTAAATAGTGAAAACAAGGCACACCACCAGCCGATTACACTATAAATTTAAAGCCAAATAAGAATAAATATTTTCAATAGATCTTTTAATTCAGGAGAATTATGGTTTTTTTCACAAAGTATATGAGATGCATTTGCAAACCTGATTCCTTTAAAAAGCTTCCTAGATAATTGCTTTCAACTGACATGCTATGAAATTTTCTATAGAGCATTTCATATTTGCATTAATTTATAAAAATTGCTTCAGTGAACACCAGAAATTAACCACCAGGTGATAGTCAGAAAAAGATGAGTTTGCAGTACATTTTTATGGAACACATTTGACACTCTCAAATGTTATCATTAGGAAGAAAAGAGTTCTCAACAATTATTTTTAGGAAAACAAGAAAACGCAAAGCGGTTCTCAGAAGACAGAGGAAATGTCTGAAATCAAATAGCTGTGACGAAGGCGTAAGACTGCTGATTATAAACCAATAAGTTATTACAAAACCATCAAATAGCTGGTTCTGTTACACCCACCAATGTAAATGTCAAGAGGGAATGAACTGGAAATTACCTCCTGGAGGCTGACTGCTTAGAACAACCTTAACCCAAAGATGGTGCTAGTAACCGGCGTTAGCATTTGGGTTGGAAATGAATTTTAATTAAAGAAAACAAAACAAAACCCAACAGTTGATGTAAAACTCAGGGCATGAATCTTAGAGCTGCAGATAAGGTAGTGACCATCATGCTCCATGTGATGTCCGACACCTTTCAAGAACTATGGACTGGGAGTGTCACTGGGCAAGTCGCGTGGTCATCTGGCTTTCTATTGGGTGGGTAGGTTCTGATTCGTGGGCATGGCAGAAGATTTTCTTTGAGGGGAGTTCATCACTTTTCACTCAGTTTCCCCACTCCGTTCCAGAGGTTTCTATGCTCTGCCTGGCATCTCGCACCGGGGCCTCACCAAGGCAGTTTTTCCAGAGCATGACCTGCATGTCTCCCACAGGCTCTGGGCACAGCAATGGATGGAAACAAGAAAGTAATGGGATGTCTTTGTTCAACACTTGCAATTCAACCCTTTCCACCTCCCGCTTCTTCAGCAATTGTACTAATGAGTTCAATCAAAAGCCTAGCTGGAATTCTACAGAGCGAATGATGTTGGCTTTCCGTTGCGATTCCCTTGATAGACACGTGGGTTTTGACTTTTCTCTTCTGAGTTCTATGTGACCTCTTCAGTGTTTTGTGACCTGGGAATGACAGCTGTCTTCTGCTTTTGTCATATACAAATCCGTGCTCCTAGTCTCCATAAGCTTTTAGAGGGCAAAACAAATGCAGTAGCCACCATTTTGAACAGGAAGTTGCAATCGCTGTTCGAGGTCAATAAAGTGTTCCTCCTCAGGGTCTATTTAAAAGATTTAGTGTTTTGTTCCTTCTGCTTAACATTTATATTATTGTTAGTTTTTCTGTTTCATGGACTTACTTAAACTGCCATCCATTTTAAATGGCTTCACTTCATTTTTCCATGGGTTGGAAAGATGCATCAACATGACATTTTCTTAATATAGGACACAACATGTAGGTTCCAGAGAGCAGGGAGGTTTTTTTTAAATTATTTTTAGTCACTTTGTAAGCTATATTTACTTAAGTAATAAAATTAGAGATATTTAAGAACTATATTAGCTCTTGAAAATAACGCACAAAGCAAAGCTCTGATGACTATTTTAAGACAAAATGGTGCATTGAATAAAACCCTTTTCATGAGCAGATTCTAATAGACTTTCAGCACTAAAATTTTATATCCTTTTTTTTTTTAGCCTCATTTTTTTTTCTCATTTGGGAGTGATCCTCTGAACTTGGACTAGGTACTTTAAATTCACTTATTTCTCAAAATAAGCAAATAGCCTCTATAAAACCTGAATAATTTTCAACCAACTAGGTGATTTTGGGGACCCTTCTCTATTTTATTTTTGCATGCTCCCATATCAGCTGATTATGACTGTGATATTTTGGATATATATTCAAATGGCTGCATTATTGGAGCACCCATGAAAAGTCTTCACCTCCTTATTAAACACAGTTATTTGTATAGTAGTCACTTTCCCTCACCTGTGTCTTCATGAACTCTCTTCATATTTTCTCATTACTTATTTCAATAGGTGTGTGTGTGTGTGTGTGTGTGTGTGTGTGTGTGTGTGTGTGTGCCTGTTAATGTTGCTTAATACTTTAAAGTATGTGAAATCATCACTAACAATCCATAGACCACTTTTTCAAGTATATTTCAGTATATGGTAGGAGCAAATGATGTGATTAATTCAATTCTTTAAAACATAACAGATGTTCACAGAAAGCTTTAAAAAATGTTTCTCCCTGGGCAGGGTGGCACATGCTATAATTTCAGCAATTAGGAAATAGAGGCAAGAAGATTTCAAATTCAAGGCCATGCTGGTACACCAAGTGAGTCCATATCAAAAAGGAAGAAGCTTGCTTCTGAAAAATCCTATAACAGTTATCATAGCATGATTTAAACAACAGGGAATGTACAAAAATGACAAGGTAGTACACAAGGATATGTATGTATGTATGTATGTATGTATGTATGTATGTATGTATACACCCCCCCCACACACACACACACACTTCCAGTTCCCTGCAGGGAACTGTATTCACATGGCCTAGGGACACTGCTTAATTCCATCCCTGTTTGGAAGCATAATAAAAGATTAAATAAAAAAATATATAATTTACCTGAAAATTCAACCCTGAGTACACTTTAATCTGCTATGCACTCCTCACACCACCACAAGCAGTGTAGACATACTACTGTAAATATATTCTAGAGATGGTGCCATGAAGGACCAGAGAGTATAAGAAACAACTGACAATCACTCAGTAGCAAAATCGGGATGCAAATTCCAGTAACCTGAATGCAGAAATAGCAATGTTCTCACTACAAAAATACGCCCCACAGATTTACATAGCATAGAAGGATCCAGAAGCTGTAACTGTGGCTGCTTTATTTCCAACCCCTTTCCATCTATCAACACTTTTCAGCCAAGCTCTGAAGATATGTTCTTGATAGAACTGTTTTTTGTTGTTGTTGTTGCTACTGTTGTTGTTTTTTCAAGACAGGGTTTCCCTGTGTAGCCTTGGAGCCTGTCTTGGAACTCATTCTGTAGACCAGGCTGGCCTCAAACTCACAGAGATCCACCTGCCTCTGTCTCCTGAGTGCTGGAATTAAAGGTGTGCGCCACCAACACCCGGGGCACACCTTTAATTCCAACATCTTTTGCACTTAGGACTATGTGTATCTAAACATATATGCATATACACAGCAGTCAGAAAGACACACACACAGAGAGACAAAGGAGTCTGGAAATCATAATGTGTGAAACTAGAGCACAGATACTGGCTCACAAGTGTTTCCTCAAATAAATGGTGACTGGACAAAAACAAATGGAGTTACCATACTCTAAACAGTCTAATGAAGTCGTGGATCTTTATTTAATGCCCAGAAAAAAAAAGTTTGTTGCTGGGCTTTATTTTCCCCTAAGAGTATGAGCAAGTGATAGAAGAAACTGTGAGCCCCTGTGGCTTGCCACTTACAGATGTGTTCACATGTCTGTCAACAAAGGCAAAGCACAAGCTGCCAACTTTACCCTTCCAAAGTTTCAACCCACATCAGACTCCTATGGAGCCAAGCAGTTTGAATTGGCCTACAGAACTGTTCCCTTAGATTTTCCTTTGTTTCAGACCAGAAGGAAATTGAATAATATCATATGACAGCGTAAGTAGCATCAATTAGGAATTAAAGATGAATGCTTTACAAATCTTAGATCCTGTCTCCCTTGGAGAAAACTTACGAAACAAATTTGACCATAGGCTGTACATACTTGCCTTTGTAAAAATGAACATCTGTTTAATTTTACTAATATGTAACATATAACAAAATTTTCTCACACTGGTATTGAAATCATATGTGTAGATGATAAAGGAGAATTTGTCTACATTTTTAAGACTGCATATTTCTGGCACAACACACATGTTAACCAAACAAGGTTATGAAGAAATTTATTTGGGTTCAAAAATGCAATTCTATTTCATTTGGAAAGAAATCTACTGCAAAACTTTCCTGACAAATGGCTGAACGGTGGCGAAAAGACCTGAGTAAACACAGTTCAAGGGGAGGAAGGGTGAGCTCACATAAAGGATGAACTGTACGCCTTTCACTGATGCTGACTCGATCCAGCACAGCTGGATTGGCATTAAAGGGCCCTGTCTTTATCCAAACTGTCTAACACTCTCTGGAACCAACCCGAACAGTAGCAGAGAACAGGCCTGCAAAGCCTGGTTCTGTTGCTACACATCCTTCATGAGGCCCAGAGAAGAAAGCTGTGTGGGCCCCTCCAAACACGAAAAGAATCCTCCATTTATACACCAAGAGCAGGCCGGTAAAGCCTGGAGCTCTTGATGACATTCAGCAACTGGCCCAGAGATGACAGCTGTGTGGGCTCCTCCATTGCCAAAAGTCCCTGTATTACATCGGCCACTATAAACCTGGCCAAGAACCTGTGGCTGGAGAGGCCCTAGGCCCTAAGGAGAACCTACAACTGCTACTTTGTTAACTGGACACAGCACCAACCTGCCCTCTAGATACTTGTCCTTATAACCACAGATTAGTACAGCTCACGCCCCTCATTGGAGAAGCTTCCTTTTGCAGTGAACTGAGGTTAATGCAAAGTCCCACAACTGGTCAAAGAAAGGTAGACTTAAATCTAAAAAGGACATCTGTATCCAACTCCCTCTGCCCAAGGTACAGAGAACATTGCAGAGGAGGGGAATGTACAGATTCTAATGGTTAAAGGATGGGGAGGGGTGCTGAGAAATTGAATCTTCTGGACATGACATGACTAGTGCACCTATGAACTGACAACAGCTGTGGATGACTGTATAAGATCCACAT